TCATAAATTGATTGCTTTTTGCAACTAATCTAGAAAACTTATTCGTTAATCGTTTACGCAATGTTATTATATTTATTTATGAATATCTTCATATACATACATAAATATATTTATTAATGTAAAATTAGTAGAACCTTGTATATATCGAAAATCACTGAAGTCCAGTGATGACGATGCTACAATTTAGTCCGAGTTTTCAATTCGAGAAATGTTTAACCAATCAACTTGCAGTTTTTATGGAAAAGCAACAAATTTAATAACTATGCGTTTCTTGGATCGAGATTTTGGATCGAGCTCTAGCATCGTGGATACTGAGCTGTATGATAATTACTCATGAAGTAAGCACAATAAAAGAACTAATCATTTATGTTATTAAATGAAGTTACCGTAGATAATATATTAAATTTCATTTATTATTGGTAATAAAAAATGCTAAATAAATTACAAAATAAATGTGAAGTTGTCGAAAATATAATACTTATTAAATATTATTGAATATACATAATACTGATAAGTAATATTTTTAAGCATATGCATGCACGCGATATGCATGATACACATGCACATGACAGTAAGTATTTTTTGAATTTTTTTATTTGGAAGGGTAAATGCTATCTTTTCATCAATACGATCCTGATATCTTCTTGTGTAAGTATATGCCATATTCGTTCTTCAAAAGATTTTATTTTGTATTTATTAAATTTTTATTACTTCTTCTTTATTAGTTCTTTTTTATTAGCTTCTTATTGATATATTATTATTATAATTTGAATGAAAAATTTATGAAAAATTTATTATAGGAATATTGATTCAAGGATACTTGAAAAATAAACATTTTTGAGGATTTTATTTTTATAAGTGAACAAATTTAGAAATTTATACTTTTGCATATATATATTTGTTATTATTTTATTATAATTTTACCGCGTTTTTACAATAAAAATGAATTACATATATTAAGATAAATGAACATTTAACTGGTTAAAAAATATTTGTTCTCGATGATTGTCGTAATATTTTAAAAAATAAACCAATTAACTTGAAAGTTTATACATATGTATATTTTATATATGTCATATTCATTCTTCAAAAGATTTTATTCTCTTTTTAGTGTTACTATCACAAGTATAAAAATATTAATCAATATATTTATATCTTAATTTAAATTTTAAAAAATTAGTAAAAAAATAAAAATGTTTGCTTTAATATACATATTGCTATTTTTTATGCTTAGCTATTTATGAATGATTCGAATTTTATGATATAAAATGCGATTAAAATGATAACAAACATATATATAAAACTACAAACTTTAGAGTTTATGAGAGAAAAATATATGATGTATGTGTGTGTGTGTGTGTGTGTGTGTGCACATCCATGTGAACACACATATATCCATATATTTAATATATAAATTGTAATTATATTTAATTATATATATATTAATTAAGTATATGATTATTATGAATATTGTTTTCTTTTGTTTCAGGAATAGGAAGTTCCAAGAATAAAACGTTTATATTTTTCAGAACTCTGTTTATATTTTTCAGATATTTCGAGTTATTGCATTATATACATACAATATATAAAAATTATTTTATATTATTTCATGATAAAAAGAGCTCGCTATTGTTAAAAATTATTTATGCAATTTTCTGACTTAATAAAGTGTTAATTATTAATATTAATTATCAATTATTAAAAATTATCGATATTAATTTTTTGTTAATTATTTCAACATTAAATATCATAACTTTCATCTTTCATTTTCAGTTTTTTACATCTTATTTTTATTACACAATTAAAAATTTATTTTGTATGTGTTAATAATAAATATTCTAATATTAATTATAAAATAAATATATATAATAACTATATATATAATATATATAATATATATATTAAATATATATTAAATATATATTAAATATATATAATAACTAATATTTTAAAAATAATTAAATTTATGATTTTGTTGTTAATGATAATTATTATGATATAATGATAATGATGAAAAATAATGATGAAGATAATAATAATAACAATGCTGATGACTTTAATGATAATAATGATGATAATGATGATAATGATGATGATGATGATGACAATGATGATAATAATGATGATGATGATAAAAATAATGATAATAATAATGATGATTAATATTATTGTTGTTGTTACTGTTATGCTTCAATTATAATATAATTTTTGCAAGATTTAACTTCACTTTTTTGTCTTAAATTTCATAAATAAGATTACATTACTTCTAAATAAAAATTTGGTTAGATTAAAATGCCAAGACGTAAAGTAGAACGTAATATAGAAGAAGAAGTAGAATTTCAACAACGACATCGTGAAAGACAGGCGGAAAATCAACGTCATCGACGGCAAGCTGCAAAAGCAGTAGGAAGCAATAGTTCCAATAATAATCTATCATAAATAGTAAGAAATCAAAATATTTTATTGTTAAAACAAAAACATGCAGAGAAACAATCTCGTTATCGAGCATAAGGGAAAAATCAACCTCGTTTAAATATTAATAATACAACAATAATTAATGAAGTAATTGAATATTATATTGGTCCTATGGATGTGTCTTGTATTCATTGTAATGCAAAACATTTCATGGCTGAAAAAGTAACTAATAAAAGAAATTCATTTAACGATTGTTGTAATGGTGCAGTATATTTGGAACCATTACCTTAACTTCCACATTTTCTTCTTAATTTATATGATAACAGTCATGCAAAATCTAATAAATTTTTCCAACATATTCGTAGTGTAACGTGCGGTCTTCCGTACCGCGAATTTCTGATTAGGATAGCCGTCGGTTCCAGGTATAGGAAATAAGATGCACGTGTATGTATTAAAATGATGTGTTTATTGTATGTATTGTACAGCTGCGCGCGCGCGCGCGTGTGTGTGTGTGTGTGTGTTTAAATTGTAGTATATTAATATATAATTTTATATAAATAATTTTATAGATCTTATTATTAATATTATATTAATAAAATCTTAATCATAAATCTTTTCTTGTAACGTAAACTTAGGAAAAGTTAACATATATTCAATATTTGTGTCAATAAAATTTTTTACTATTCACGAGTTCATGCTAGAGAAAAAATTTATGATTAAACTCGAAATAGGAAAAAGATCATACCACTTGTATCATGTTTATATTTACAATTATATTTACAATGTGTTCACGAATGAGAGTCAATTTGTTGTGACAGCGCGGCTATCTGAGAAGCTAGATCTTATGAGATAAAATGGCACGACGTTGAGCTTACAATTAAAGGGACTTCACTCGACACGTATTTTTTTTTGTTTTTCTGTTTTATTGCACGGCACCACAAATACAATTTACAGAAAATTATTGAAATAAAGATATATGCACAAAGCCGAAAACTAAATTGCTTTCAGACAATCGAGCAGTTAAAGTGCAGCGATTTTCAAAGCGAGGCGATTTGACAAAGCGATTGAGCAAAAGCGGTTTAACTGTGAACAGCGAAAAGTGAGAAACTTGAAAAGTGCACGACGGGTCCACGCGCGGTGCCCATTATATAGCGAGCGGATTTTTGGGCCCGTAGTCGTTTGCGACGTAGATTAATTTAATGTTTTAGCGGTGACCTCAGCGTGCCGCGTATAATTGGTTTTTGATGAGGTCTGACGTCGAAAATTGTTTATCTGTCATGCGCGCAATCCTTTTAGATCAGCTGATTGGCGATCACGCATGGGCGCGCATGCTCGTAAGCCGCGTAGATTTCGGCGACGGTTGACAACAATATTATTAGCGGTGATGATGAGCGTTTATCGAGTGGCGAAAAAAACAGAGATAACTCAAACGGTCGAGCTTTTTTTTTGGCAAATAAATGATTCGAGAAGTTTCTCGACGCTTGATGGATTCGAATTCTTGGATTTATTAAACTGAAAAATGCGGATTTTATCTACGCGAATTATCAATTTGAAATAATGAGTATGAATTTTGAACATCCCGCCCGCCTCGTCAGTAACGTGACGATATTTGAGAGTGTGTTCGTGCACGGGCAGATGTCCTGAGCGGTTCCATCGATGAATTATTGATAGTGATTAATGAATGAGATGCGATAGTGATGTGGTACAAGACACGTGTCGCTCAGTTTGTTTGAGTCTTTCGCGAGGATAAATGGGGTGTGAATGTTATGAAGTGTATACAGTGATTAATGTGAAATTTACTAAAGTTTAGTGAACAATTTCGTAAGTGTAGTGAGGCTGTGAAAAAAAATGCAAAATAATTTGGAAAATCAAGAATCGCTACGTTAAATGCTGTGAGGTGCAAGTGAAATTAGTGATAACGCGGCTGATTGAGATGTGAGAAATACGCGGAATAAGCTGCATAGCTTATACTATATAGAGCGATTAGGATATAGCGATAATGTAAAGGGTGAGATTGAACTGCAGTTATCTCACGCATCCTGAGGTGAAGTCTGCGAAACGTTGTCAGCTCCTGGAAGCAGGATCAGTTTCGTTAGCGGCCAGATGAGCTCCGAAAAGGATGTTCGAATGGTCACTACTCGGACAGTGTTGTCGTCTCATGGGTAGAGCTTGATGATTCGAGCGAGGGGCCATCGACTCGGCGGCGTTGCTTCGGAGCGCACTAAACATAGAGCTCCGATGTTGGGACCAATCTCGTTCGTTGTCCACTTTAGTCGTAAAGCCAACGTCTGGACGTACTCTCGCGACCACCGCTGCCAATAGTGATCGCGCATCCTCTGCAGGAGTTACCAGCGGGAGAATGAATTGTCGCCACGATCAATGAGTGACGGTTCAGGAATAGCCAGAAGAGGAGCACCGATTAAGAAGTGTCCCGGAGTGAGTGCCGTCAAGTCGTCAGGGTCATCGGAGAGTGCTCGCAGTGGGCACGAGTTGAGGCATGCCTCAACCTGCGCGAGGAAAGCTCATTTCCTCGTAGGTGAGGGTTATTTCGCCGATGATTCGGCGCAGGTGATATTTGACCGACTTCACTGCTGTTTCCCAAAGTCCACCAAAATGAGGAGCGGCAGGTGGATTAAATTTCCACTTAATGCCGTCGGAAGCAGTCGGAAGCAGATTTGAGCGATGCGACGGCCTTCGGCTGATGATGCGCGAAACATCTCCCGAAGTTCTCGACTTGCGCCGACGAAGTTAGTGCCGCAATCGGAATACACTTCGCTGCAGAGACCCCGACAAGAGGTGAAACGGCCGAATGCAGCCAGAAACGCCTCCGAAGTGTAATCTAAGGTCACCTCGAGATGAACTGTCTTGGAGCTGAGACAGACGAAGACGACAATGAATCCTTTGTGTGCTCGATGACCTCGTCCTTTACTGGTTCGGATAAGAATTGGCTCGGCATAATCGACTCCGGTCTGAAGAAACGGGCGGGCAGGTGTTATCCTTCCCCGTGGAAGACTGCTCATTAGAGGTCGTGGAACAGCGGCCCTCCATCGGACACACGTGACGCATCGATGGATTAATTTTTTGACAATGGCGCGACCTTGTGGAATCCAAAATCGGAGGCGAAGCAATCCAAGAGTGAGCTGGACTCCTCCGTGAAGCGTCTGACGGTGGCAGGAAATCACCAGAAGTTGAGTCAACCATGATTTCGGTGGAGCGATCATGGGGTGTCGCTCGTCCTGTGACAACACCGCATGCTTCAAACGACCTCCAACTCTCAAAACTCCGTTGTCATCAAGAAAGGGGTTCAACTTGGTGAATTGACTCCGGTGTGACACAGTCCGGTTCTGTCTGAGGGCGGAAACCTCAGTGGAGTAGTGCTGGCCTTGTATGATGCGAAGCCATCGTAACAAGGCGGCATCAAGCTCGTCTGGTTGAAGAGTTGCTTTGGGGTTGACCTGTAGACATGAGCGGGCTGCGCTGCGTCGCCATCGACAGCATCAGGCCATGACCCGGAGGAGTCGGTGTAGAGCCGAGAATCGTAGGAGGAGCTCCGGTTCAGTCTCGACCTTGGCGATGATGTTCATTGTTGTGGCCCTGGTTTCTGGAATCTCGAGGTCGGCGATGGCCGGCTCCCCCTTTGGTCAGTATGATGGATCTTTCTGGAGCCATGAGGGTCCCGTCCACTACTGAGGATGATTCAGTAGGTCTCGTGGCTCAATTCCTCTGGAGACGCAATCGGCTGGGTTATCTTGTCCGGGTGTATGTTGCCACCGAGCCTCTGGGAGCTGCTGCTGAATATGTGATACCCTGTTTGCCACGTACGTCTTCCATCTTGAGGCGTGCCCTTGAATCCACTAGAGGGTGACCTTCGAATCAGACCACAAAAACACTGGAGATGTAAAAAGGCTAAGAGACTTACGAAGATGAAGTGTCAGGTTAGTAGTCAGCACAGCAGCGCACAGTTCGAGTCGCGGTAGTGACACAGATTTAATTAGTGCTACTTTTGTTTTAGCAGCTAGCAGGCGAACCATTGCGGAGGCATGACTCACGACTCGAATGTAGACGACAGCGGCATATCCTCGCTCTGACGCATCCGCAAATCCATGAAGTTCTACATGCGTCTCCGGGTTTTCACAGCCAAGCCAACGATGCACCTTCACCTGCTCAAGAAGCAGAAGATTATCGAGGATGTGTTTCCACAGCTGCTGATCCATTGGTGGCAGTGGAGAATCCCAGTCCAATTGCTTCATCCATGCAGACTGGATCAATATTTTGGCGCGAATCACGATTGGAGCCAGCCAGCCTAGCGGGTCAAAGAGTCGAGCTGTCTCTGCCAAGACCTGTCGCTTGGTTAAGGACATAGTTACGCGTGGCCGAATAGCGAATGAGAAGGTGTCGCTCACAGGATGCCATTTTAAGCCTAGAGTGGAATGGCTTTCGCTCTCCCACGCATGGTGCGATTGCTGATGTTCCGGTGCCACTTCGGTAAGAACTTCCTTATTGTTGGAGGCCATTTTCGAAGTGGAAACCCGCCCGCCGTGCACAGCCCCCGTAGTTGCGTTTGGAGATTGATCGCTTCGGATAAAGAATCTGCTCCAGTCACGATGTCGTCGACATAACAGTCGCGATGCAGTGCTTCCGCTTCTTGTGGATATCTCGATCCTTCATCATCGGCAAGTTGGCGGAGGGTTCGGTTCGCCAAGAATGGTGCACATGCTAAGCCATACGTCACTGTGTTGAGACAATACTCGCATATGGCATCATGTGCTTAGTGTCTCCACAGTATTTGTTAATAATCACGGTCGTCTTGATGCACTATAATTTGCCGGTACATTTTCTCAATGTCAGCAATAAACACAAAACGATGCCGGCGCCAGCGAAGCAGTACGTCGGCGAGCGTTGGCAGGAGATTGGCGCCGACGAAAAGGTTGCTGTTCAGTGATTCACCAGTGTGTGTGCGTTGAGATCCATTAAAAACGACCCTGAGTTTGGTGGTGACGCTGGAATCCCGGAGTACGCCATGATGCGGTAAGTAACATACAGCTTGCTTGCTGGCTTGTGACTTGCTCATCAACTCCATATGTTTCAGGTCTTCATATTCATGCATGAAGGTGTGATAGAGGTCACCGAACTGGTTATCTTGGGAACATCGGCGTTCCATGGCAGTCAATAGACGCTCGACTGGCTTGCGAGTTTCGGCTAAAGGTGGAGGCGGTCCTAAGAACGACAGTCTTACGATGTATTGTCGTGCGGCCGTACGTTCATATGTGCGAATGAAGAATTCTTCGCACTTTTTCTCGTCTGACGTCAGCATGCTCGGAGAGGATTGTTCTCGCTCTTGCTCCCAAAATCTTTGAACAAGAGCAATCAGGTCTCTGTCGACAGAGCACTGCAGAGAGCTGCTACGACCATGAAGCGGCATACCTCTACAGCCTCCTGAAAGAATCCATCCTAGTGAAGTCCTTTGGGCGATGGGCTCGTCCTTTCTGCCCTTGCGCAGACCGTCCAGAAGGATGGTTGAGCATGTGTCGCCGAGAAGAAGTTCGATAGGGTCTTGTCGCAGATATTGCGGGTCAGCTAAAGGAAGTCCACGGGTGTGCGACCAAGTGGGGTGGTTCCTCATGGTTGGTCCCCGACGACGCGGCGCGGCAAGATGTAAGCCTCAATGCAGAGGGTGGTTCCAGTCACCTCGGAATGAAGGTCCATTGACATCCTTCCACGTAAGGTTCCTGATCGCGCTCCTCCAATTCCGATGACCGATATTGAAGAGCGAGCTCGAAGCAAGCGCAGACGCTGTGCCAGAGCCTCAGAAATGAGGGACACCTCTGATCCTTGATCAATCAAGGCTCGCACGGCTTGTGGTCTGCCCAGGAAATCGTTAATGGTGACGCGAGCGGTAGCGAGAAGAATTGCTTTGTGACCTGATGTGTGATGCGTGGCAAGAGTATTTGCTTCCGTGGATTATGGTTTATTGTATGCTTCGTGAAGTAGTGAGTGGTGCCGCGATTTGCAAGTGAGGCAGTTCTTAACGGATTGGCATTTTGCCAAGAAGTGGTTACCTAAGCAGTTGTAGTAGAGTCCGTTGGCTTCGACGCAGGATTTTCTCTCGTTTGCGGACTTTGATTTGAAGTCCGAGCATTGCATAAGCGAGTGTTTTCCCTTGCAAACGACGCACCTTATGGAGTTGGACCCGTGCTTTGCAAAGTGAGATTTTTGCAGCTCGTGAGGTGTCTCCGGAGCCCTTGGTAACTGGCTTAGCGGCGTTCAGGGTGAGTATTCTTTTGGCTATAAAATCTAATAGGGCTTCGTGACTCGGAGGATCAATGAAACTACTAGTGGACGATTCCACTCAAGACGCGTTCGCTGATCAAAGAGTTCGATCACCAAGTGATTGAAAAGATCCATGCCATTTGAATTGATGGGTCTTCCGATGCTCTCCTGAGCGTTGACAGTGGCGGTCATGGCGTGATATACTCGATTCAACTTCTCGGCGGATTCCGACTTCATTTTTGCTACGGTGGTAAAGGTAGCAAAGTTGGAGCGCATTAGCTCCCTTTTATTCTCGTAGTGTTTTGACAGGAGTGTCCACGCGCGCTCATAATTGTCACCAGTTAAAGATAATGGTTGAATTAATTTTTCAGCTGGTCCTTTTAGACACGACCGAAGATAATGGAGTCGCTCAACATTAGAGATAGACGAATTCTCTCCTACGACTGAGAGGAACAGATCGCGGAACGACGGCCAGTCTTCGTATGCGCCCGAAAACGGTTGCAGCTTGCGTGGCAATGAGGTCTTTGGGGAATGCTCTGAACCTTGATTGAGTTGATGCGAGGTGGAAGGCTCAACACCGAGCCTTTCGGCGTACCCGCGCAACGTGCTTTTTGCGTCACGTAAGTGATTTCAGCTGCGTCGACAAACTCGGATTTAGCGTACTCACTTTCTGTGTATTTATCCTTTAGAGTGCTTCGGATGAGCTCGTGCTGGGTCTCGAATCTGCTCCATAAGTTGTCCAGGATGAAGATACGGGCTTCAATGGCGCCGAGTGTAATGTTATTCACTCCCATTTTTCTCAGATTGTCCACAGAGCGAGACATTTGTCTGTGGATGTCACTTTGAGCTTCCAGTAATGATTTTATGTCCGCACTCATTTTGATAAGCTGATTCTTTTGTTTAGAGATCCACCGCACTTCACAATACTGTCACCCGTGAGACTGTAGACGCGGAAAAAGATCCGATTCGAAGGACCAGAATGTTCACGAATGAGAGTCGATTTGTTGTGACAGCGCGGCTATCTGAGGAGCTAGATCTTATGAGATAAAACGGCACGACGTTGAGCTTACAATTAAAGGGACTTCACTCGACACGTATTTTTTTGTGTTTTTCTGTTTTATTGCACGACACCACAAATATAATTTACAGAAAATTATTGAAATAAAGATATATGCACAAAGCCGAAAACTAAATTGCTTTCAGACAATCGAGGAGTTAAAGTGCAGCGATTTCCAAAGCGAGGCGATTTGACAAAGCGGTTTAAGCGCTGTGAACAGCGAAAAGTGAGAAACTTGAAAAGTGCACGACTTCGACGGATCCACGCGCGGTGCTCATTATATAACGAGCGGATTTTTGGGCCCGTTGCGACGTGGACCAATTAATTTAATGTTTTAGCGGTGACCTCAGCGTGCCGCGTATAATTGGTTGTTGATGAGGTCTGAAAATTGTTTATCTGTCATGCGCGCAATCCTTTTAGATCAGCTGATTGGCGATCAGTTGATCATGACGCATGGGCGCGCATGCTCGTAAGCCGCGTAGATTTCGGTGACGGTTAACAACAATATTATTAGCGGTGATGATGAGCGTTTATCGAGTGGCGAAAAAAACAGAGACAACTCAAACGGTAGAGCTTTTTTTTTGGCAAATAAATGATTCGAGAAGTTTCTCGACGCTCGATGGATTCGAATTCTCGGATTTATTAAACTGAAAATTGCGGATTTTATCTACGCGAATTATCAATTTGAAATAATGAGTATGAATTTTGAACACAATGTATATAGAATATAAGCTATATTGTAGTGTATTTAATTATGTATTGAAAAAATGTAGTCGACCAAACTAGCCAGAAATTTAGTTTATTATTACGACGTTTCGACCATATGGTTGTGGTCCTTATCAAGTACATACTGCAAAGATTATAAATTGATACATTAATTGACAGTTTCAATATATAACGCGCTCAACGAATTAAAATGTAACAATGTTAGTATACCGAAGCCATAAATCAAGAGACCGGCATAGACGATGATCTTATAAATTGCACAAATCACATTAAAAAAAAAAATGTTATTTATTAAAAGATTTAAATTAGAGAGAAATTGATGTGTCCGTGAGAGACATCGTCAAGAGACTAAAAACAAACGCTATGAGACGGGACTATGTGACCTTTATTATTTTATCGTAAATATTATTTAAATTATCTGTGTCTTTCTGTAGGTTGATTAAATTATTATTTAATTTTTTGATGAAAAACATCTCAGCAATTTCTCTCTTTCGAACATATTTTTTGTTATGCAGAATATTAGGTTTCGACCAGTCAAAATCATGTCTAGATTCTGATCTATGTTTGCTAATAACCGAATGATTAGATTCATGTAACTTTATATTGTTGCAATGTTCTTTTAATCGCGTACGTAAATGTCTTTTTGTTTGCCCGATGTATGACAAATTGCAATCTTTACAATTTAATTTATATACAACACCTGTCTTATCGTTATTCTGTAAATTATCTTTACCAAGTCTAATTAAATTATTTAGTTTTTTAGTTATTTTGTAGACGACGTTAAAACCGCTATTTTTCAGAAGGCGATACAAATCATGACTCGAATTCTCCACATATGGTATTGAAATAAATTGAGTCTTGTCAGAATCAGCAAGATTCACGTTAACTGTATCATTAAGATCACGATTATTTAAAAAATTAACTCTTTTTTTAATGTGTCTGTGTATTATATGTTCAGGAAAACAATTACTGATTAAAGTGTCTGTTAGATTGAGCAATGTATAATCTCTCTCTACACTATGTAATCTACGTTCTAAATTCTAGTTTCGTTTCTTTTATACTTTCTTACTTCATGACTCTACTCGAACAGTTACTGGATATTAAAAGTTGCAGCTCAATGAATCTGTGGTAATACTTATTTCGTCCACCCCTTATCCTCGCTACTCTAACATCATCAGGTTATGGGCCCAGGGTTGCGCGTGTGAAGAAGGAATTTAGTCGTGGAATGAACTTCGTAAGTCACGAGTCGGAAAAGTTTTGAGAAACAACGCGTGTGTGCGACAGTGCGAAAGTGCGACAAAAATGGCGGACGATGAAAAGTACAAAGTGCCACTCTTTGATGGAAGCAACTACAGTAACTGGAAGTTTCGTATGCAGATTCTACTTGAGGAACATGATCTCTTTGATCTAATCGGTGAAGAGCTTAATACATTAATAGCAAGGCTACCGGCGGCAACCGCAGCCGCTCGAACTCCTATCTTGAAAAGAAATGACAAAAAATGTAAGTCGCTTATTACTCAACGTATCTCAGATAGTCATCTCGAGTACGTGAAGGAGAAAGATACAGCGTATGACATGTGGAAGGCTCTTTCGGATAGTTTCGAGCGTACAGGCGTCTCGAGCCAACTTCGTCTTAGAAAAATACTCTTGACCATGCGGTACGCGTCAACGGAATCCATGGCATCTCATTTTTTGAAGTTCGACAAGCTCGTTCGGGAGTTGAAATCGACCGGTGCTAAAATAGAAGAAATTGATATCGTATGCCATCTATTGTTAACAATGCCCGAAGAGTATGATATGGTCGTAACAGCCCTCGAAACAATGTCAAGTGGACAGTTAACTCTTAGCTTCGTCAAAACAAGGTTATTGGATGAAGAAGCGAAGCGAGGTGGCAGCACAGATTTAGTAAGTGGAAGCTCGTCTACCGTATTCTCAGCTACGACGAATAAGCGCCACGGAAATCGGAACGCAAACTCAACCGGAAATCGGAACGCGAACTCAACTGGAAATCGAAATGCGAACAATAAACGGAATGTTAATTCGAACGGGAATAGCGCGGGAACGAGACGTAACCGGTTTGACTATAGATGTCACCACTGCGGCATAGTTGGACACAAACGGTCCGAGTGTCGGAAATTGAAAAACGAAGATAAGAATTCGGAAACGGCGAATGCCGCGGTTGATGATAACTGTAACAAAAATCAAAAAGCCTTTGTGTTTTTCTCAAATGGAAGTGACAGTAGTGTGTCAAACGTAAATTTTGTTTTAGATTCCGGATCTACTGAGCATTTGTCAACGGAAAAGACAAAATTAATTAACGTGCGGAAATTAACTACGTCGATAAATATACGCGTTGCAAAGTCGGGTCACGTGCTGACTGCAAATAAAATCGGAGACTTAAGAGTGCGCGCGCGAGTAAACGGGAAAACTAGTGACATTGTAATAACTGGAATCTTATCGGTAGCGGGACTCGAATGTAATCTTCTCTCAGTTCGTAAACTTGAAATGAATGGTTTTTCAGTAATTTTTGAAGACGGTAAAGGAATCATTAAGAAAGGGGACAAAGTCGC